TCATCATCATCATCATCATCATCATTATCATCATCATCTTTCTCCTCCTCATCATCGTCATCGCCATCATCATCCTCATCATCCTTTTCCTCATCATCATCATCCTCATCGTCACCATCATCATCAATATCCTCCTCCTCTTCCTCCTCCTCCTCCTCCTCCCCGTCCTCCTCCTTCTCCTCCTCCTCCTCCTCCTCCTCCTCCTCCTCCTCCTCCTTTTCTTTCCCATCAACATCATCCTGATCATTATCCTCATTTTTCTTCCTTTTCCTCCTCATCATCACCGTTACCATAACAATCACCATCACCATCATCATCCCCATCACCATTACCGTCACCGTCACCATCACCACCATCATCATCATCATCATCATCATCGTCATCATCACCATCATCATCATCGTCATCATCGTCATCATCGTCATCATCATCATCACCATCATCATCATCATCAGCAACACCATGACCATCACCACCACCGTCATCATCATCAGCAGCAGCATCATCATCATCGTCATCATCATCATTGCCATCGTCACCACCACCGTCATCATCATCATCATCATCATCATCAGCATCATCATCATCATCATCATAATCATCATAGTCATCATCATCATCATCATCATCATCACCATCACCATTATCATCATCAACCGCACCATGATCATCATCTTCATCCTCATCCTCATCCGCATCCGTATCCTCATCCTCATCCTTCTCCTCCGCATCCTCATCCTCTTTTACATCTTCATTATCAACATCAGCATCATCATCATCGTCATCATCATCAGCATCGGCATGATCATCAGCATCAACGTCAGCATCCGCATCATCATCGTCATCATCATCATCACCTTCATCATCATCATCATCATCGTCATCATCATCATCATCATCATCATCATCATCATTCTAATCACCAGCAGCGTCCTTGCCATCATCATCACCATCATCGTCATCATCATCATCACCGTCATCATCATCATCATCATCACCATCATCACCATCACCATCATCGTCCTTATCATCGTCATCCTTGTCATCCTCATCCTCATTGTCATCGTCATCCTCATCCTTATCGTCATCATCACCCACATCATCTTCACCATCATCATCGTCATCATCACCATCATCATCATCATCATCATCATCACCATCACCAGCCTCATAATCATCATCACCATCATGTTCCAGTGGGGTCGGGGGCCACGCGCACTCATTTGGGACCTCGCGGCTCCCTGGGATGCTGTCAACGGCGGACTTGTCGCTACTTTCGTGGGCTCCTGCGTGACACGGCGGAGATGAGGGCATCGCTGATCTTGCATATCTGGCGTTCGTTTTTTTTTTTTTTTTTTTTTTTTTTTTTTTTTTTTTTTTTTTTTTTTTTTTTTTTTTTTTTTTTTTTTTTTTTTTTTTTTTTTTTTTTTTGTTTTTTTTGTTTTTTTTTCGAGCATTCATACAAATATAGGCCTCGCGTGGAGAAGAGGTTGGGCATGTCTCGGGCGCTTTCCTTCCACATTCGTTACCATCACCAATAGTATCGTCATCATCACCACCATCCTCCTCCTCCTCCTCTTCATTATCGTCGTCATCATCATCATCGTCATCATCATCAGCATTATCATCGTCATCATCATCGTCACCAACATCATCATCATCATCATCATCATCATCATCATCTTCATCTTCATCTTCATCTTCATCTTCATCTTCATCTTCATCTTCTTCATCATCATCACCATCATACTTATTATCATCATCATCATCGTCATTCTCATCATCATAATCATCATAACCATCACCATCATCATACTTTTTATCTGCAGCATTGGTATTATACCATAATCGTCATCATCATCATCATCATCATCATCATCATCATCATCATCATCATCATCATCATCATCATCATCATCATCATCATAAGCATCAGCCACATCATCATCAGCGTCATCCTTCTCCTTCTCTTCCTCTTCCTCATCCTCATCCTCAGCATCGTTAGCATCATAATCATCAGCTTCACCATCATCATTATCATCATGGCTATCATCGTCGTCACTACCATGCCATCACCATCACATTCCGTTTTCAGTCCTGACTGATTGAGTAGGGAGGAAGTCTCAGGCAGGAGCCCACTCTTTGTGGGGCTCCCGCTTCATGTTAACAATCGTAGGGGGTCATCGGCGTACCCTGTAAAGCGCAATTTTTGTGATTATCGAGTCGTCAGGGTTCAATTTCCAGCGCTGTAGGCCACTTCGGGCCACTTCGGGCTCTTGGTGTTTCCCGAGCTCCATTCCTGGACTGATCTTGAGCGTCCGGAGCTTTTGGTAGGCCAGCCACTTCGGGCCTTTTCGTGCTCCCAGGACTACATTTTTCCTGTATTGGTTTTGCGTGCTGGGAGCACGAGGACCCCGCTGTAGGCCACGTCGGACCACGTCGGGCTCTTCGTGCTCCGAGAAATACATTTCTGGGATTGGTTGTGCGTGTCCAGAGCCACCGATAGGCCACTGCGGGGTCTTCGCGCTCCCAGCATTTCACTCCTGGGACTGGTTTTGAGCGTCCAGCACCAACTTGAAGCCACTTCGGACCAACGTCCAGAACCAACGTCCCGAACAACCGACTGATACTGGGTTTGCGTCCGCATCTGGACATCCCTTGCATCCCTTGCATCCTGGCGTTGTTGGTCTCTCTGGTATCCTTGGCGCCCCGGCATCCCTGGCATCTCTGGCTCCCTGGCATCCCTGGCATGCAGGCGCAGGCCCAGCAGTTCTGACAGTCTCGCAAGTCTCACAGGCTCCGCCAGTCGCACACGCCCCACAGGTCCCACAGGCCTCACAGGTCTAGAAGGTCCCACAGGTAGCACAGGTCGTACAAATCCCACAGGACTCACGCGTCCAATGTGCCCCAAAGGTGGCACTGGTTTCACTGCTCCCAGAGGTCGCACAAGTCCCACATGTTCCATCGACCCCGCAGGTCTCACAGGTCGTGCGGATCCACACTGTTCCACAGGTCCCATGGGACACACGTGTCCCATAGGCCGCACAGGTTGCACAGGCATCCTGGGATCTTGCGATGCTGGTCTCCTGGCATGCTGTCATCCAGGCCTCCTGGCCTCCTGGCCGACTGAATGCATCCTGGTATCCTGGCATTCCTGGCAGCGTGGCATCCTGGCATCTTGGTGTCCTGGCATCCTGGCTCCCTGGTATCTGGTGGTCCTAGCATCTTTGCAATCTGGCATCCTATCATAATTTCCGTAGTTCGCCGTCGATTGACACGTATCTGTACGCCAAGGAGATTATCATGGGGGTCCTACCGTTGGACTAATTTGTTTGTTTGTCTGGCTGTTTCTTTGTTTTCTCGTGCGCGCGCGTGTGCGTGTGCGTGTGCGTGTGCGTGTGCGTGTGCGTGTGCGTGTGCGTGTGCGTGTGCGTGTGCGTGTGAGTGTGCGTGTGCGTGTGCGTGTGCGTGTGCGTGCGTGTGTGTGTGTGTGTGGTGTGTGTGTGTCTCTGTGGTTGTGGCTGTGGCTGTGGTTGTGGTTGTGGTTGTGGTTGTGGTTGTGGTTGTGGTTGTGGTTATGTGTGTGTGTGTGTGTGTGTGTGTGTGTGTGTGCGTGCGTGCTTGCGTGCGTGCGTTGTGTGTATGTGTAGATTATAGTGCCACCATGCCGTGTGATACCATACCGTGCTACGCCGTCCCGTGTCATGTTCTGCCGCTGGTGCTGTGCTGTGCGGTGGTACTTGAAGAGCCGGTGGTGCGAATTTTTGCAACCTGGTGGCTTGATGATGCCGTGCCGCGCCTCGCCATGGTCATCGACGCGCCCGCGGCGCGTGGCTGGGCACGTCCGCTTGCTCGTCTCCCAGAGCGTCTTGTGGCACACACCATGGCGCGTCCCACCGCACTTCTCCTGGCGCGTCGCGCGGTGCGTCCCGTGTCGCGTCCCATGCCGCGTCCCTTGGCACGTTTTTTGGCTCGCCCCCACTTTGCGCCCCTTTCGCAAATTCCCTGGCGCGTCGCCACGTGACGTCGCGTGACACGTCCCCTGGCACGTCCCGCATCTTTTGTCGCGCCCCCCCCCCCCCCCCCCCCCCACCCACCTGCGCTTCTGTGACCCCCTCCAATGTTTTTGCCCCCGCACCTTTCCCCCCCCTCTCCCCCCTCATTATCCCTCCCTTCCCCCCTTCCCCCCTCGCTCCTCCCCTTCTCTTTCCACCCTCCCCCTCCCCCCCCCTCCCCTCTCTCCCCCTCTTCTCCTTCCCCCTTCCCCCGCGCCGCCCTCCCTGTGTCCCTTCCGCCCATGCGCACCCCCTCGCTTTTGTTCTCTCCCCCTCAGGGGCCCTCGGGGCTTCTCGTGGGCGGTCTCTGTGTGCTATCTTGGCCTCAGGGCGACTTCTGGGCCGTATGAAGGGCCTCGCGGGCCGTCTTGGGACTGTCTTGGGACCGTCTTGGGCGGCTTTTGTATCTTTTGGCGGCCTCGTGGGCCATCTTGGGACGATGTTGGAAGCCTCGCATGCCGTCGTGGACGCTGCGTAGACCCAAACAGCGAAGACGCCAAATACGCATTCCTCAGGATCTGTTTCGATTTTGCTCTCTTGGGGCAACGTTTTGGGGGCCTCTTGGGCTGTCTTGAGACCACCTGGGGCCGTCTGTGAGCAACCGTGGGCTATGCGGAGACCATTTGGAGCAGGCTTGCGCCCGTGTTGATTCGTCCCATGGCCATCTGGGAGCTGTGCAAGGCCAGATGAACCTGGCGGTCCCGCCAGCGGGACCCCCCTACAAACTGACCAGGTGGGGCTCCCGGGGGAGGGGTGTGCAGAGGGACAATCATATCACACGCTGAGGAATCCCAATGGGTCGGCGAATGCTTGATGCAAGCTATGTAACATATGAGGTAAGCGTGTAACGCGACAGCATGACTAACGCCATTGGTGCTCAATAGTTGCACGCGGTTGGGAGCCCACAGCCCCCCAGACTCGAATCTTCAGTCCGTGAATTGCCAGGAGCTCTTGCTTGGCGACCACGCAGAGGAGGTGGTGGTCTTCCCCGGCGGCATCGACGCGCTCGGCTTGGAGGACGTCCCCCTCCTGGGCCCCCGTTTAGCTTCGCGCGTGCATTCCTCCCAGAGTCGATCAATGGACCCCAGCGACAGGCACCGGACGGTCATCGGAAACAAGTGAGAGTGGAACGGGGCCGAGGGCGTGGCCCCAGATCCCCGATGCATTCTTCCCCACTTGTAGGCGTGCCTGAGAGGTTCTTACTTGGTTAAGAGGGTGGTGCCTCGGATTCTTACGGTGCTTGTTGCTCGGAGGTTCCCCGGGTTCTTCGCCCTCGGTGCTTCCGATTCTGACGTTGCCCGTTGCTCGGAGGTTCCCCAGGTTCCTCGGGTTCCCCTGGTTCCTCGCCCCCGGAGCCTCCTACTGTCACGTTGCCCGTTTCTCGGATCCTTCGGGTTCCCCGGGTTTCTCGGGTTCCCCAGGTTCCTCGGGTTGCCCTGGTTCCCAGGGTTCCCCGGGTTCCTTGGGTTCCCTGTGTTCCCCTGTTTCCCGGGGTTCCTCGGGTTTCCCGGGTTCTCCGGGTTCCCGGTGTCCGGGTCCCCCGGGTTCCCCGGGTTCCTCAGGTTCCTCGGGTTCCCTGGGTTCCCGGGGTTCCTCGGCGTCTCCGGGTTCCCCGCCCCCAGTGCCTCGTATTCTTATTGTGCCCGTTCCGAGCAAGGCCAAGCAATGCCAAGCAATGCCAAGCAATGCCAAGCGACGCCCAGCCATTCCAAGCAATGCCAAGCACTGCGCCCATGCAATAGGAAGCTTTCCCCTGATCGGAGTCGCGGCGGGTTCATTTTAATTTTCACGACGTGGGCCCCCGAATTTTCGACCTCATCCCTGGGACTGGTGTCTCATCGCTGGTCACTCCTGGGTGACCCCAGGGCTCAAGGCGTGCCCCCAAGAGGCTCAACCTCGAAACATCCAGCCGCCTTGGTTTTCTTAGCGGGCGAACGCCCGTTTTTCAGCCGTCGGCGTCGTCTGCCCCAGGGCGGCTGGACAGTTTCAAACCCCTACAGTGGCACGTCGGGGGTACACATTCCAGCCACCTTGTGGCAGGCGTCCCCGACAGCGGAGGATAAAAACATTTTAGACAGTTGTTCGTCGGCTAGTTTTCAGGGCGCCGGAAGCGCGGGGTCCGAGGCGCTCCTGGGGGGTCGCGACCCGCGACCGTCGGCGCCGCCGTCGCATTCGGAGCCGGGCTGGGCGCGCTCGCTGCCGCCGCCCGCGGCGTTGAATATTCGTTTCTAAAGAATAATTATTGTTGATCTCCAGAAACGGTTCCGCGCGCTCTCGCCTCGACGCCGGCTACATTTTCTCTGAAAGCGAGGCTCCCGCTCGAGCGTTGGCTTGAGCCTAAATGTGGGCCCTTGGAGGCCCAGCTACGACAACAACGGCTCCCGCTCGATACTTCCTCACAATTTACCCCGAGACACCCTGGCCAGAGAGGCGCCCGAACTCAGGAACGGCGCTCTCGCTCGAGACTTCCTCGCAATTCAATTAAGTTGGCCGAGGCCCAGCCAGAACGACAAGGGCTCCTGCTCGATTCTTCTTCACGATTTACTCCGAGAGCCCCTGGCCAAGAAGGCCCCCGAACTCAGGAACGGCGCTCTCGCTCGAGACTTTCCCGTCATTCAGGCAAGTTGGTGGAGGCCCGGACACGGCGATAAGGGCTCCCTTTCGATAGTTCTCCATAGGTATTCCGAGAGCCCCTGGCCAGAGAGGCCCCCCGAACTCAGGAACAGCGCTCTCGCTCGAGAGTTCCTCGCACTTCAGTCAGTGGCCGACAAGGAAGAAATTCCCCCCCGAAAGGAGGTGCAATCGAAGATAAAGTGGGCGGGTATCGAGGGTTGGGGTGTACATAATGCAAGGCACGCGTGCCAGTAAGAGCGAGCATTCTTAAACTGTTTGTTGTTGTTGATGAAGATGATGATGATGTTTTTGCTGCTGATGCTGATGCTGATGCTGATGCTGATGATGATGATGATGATGATGATGATGATGATGATGATGATGATGATGATGATGATGATGATGTGATGGTGATGGTGATGGTGATGGTGATGGTGATGGTGATGGTGATGGTGATGGTGTGTTGTTGTTGTTGTTGTTGTTGTTGTTGTTGTTTGTTGTTGTTGTTGTTGTTGTTGTTTGTTGTTGTTGTTGTTGTTGTTGTTGTTGTTGTTGTTGTTGTTGTTGTTGTTGTTGTTGCTGTTGTTGTTGTTGTTGTTGTTGTTGTTGTTGTTGTTGTTGTTGTTGTTGTTGTTGTTGTTGTTGTTGAGCCGTAGTAAGTAGCGTGGGCCATCCGTGACAGTTTTCCCACACGCCGAACAAGAAAACGAGGAGGGAAGAGGGGTGGTGGTGATGATGATGCTGATGATGATGAAGATGATGCTGCTGATGCTGCTGTGATGATGCTGATGCTGATGCTGATGCTGCTGATGATGATGATGATGATGATGATGATGATGATGATGATGATGATGAACATGATTAACATGATGAACATGATGCTGATGATGCTGCTGCTGATGATGTTGTTGCTGATGCTGATGCTGTTGCTGATGCTGATGCTGATGCTGACAAGGAGGAGGAGGAGGAGGAGTAGGAGGAATAGGAGGAGAAGGAGGAGGAGAAGGATGATGATGATGATGATGATGATGATGATGATGATGATGATGATGATGATGATGATGAGGAGGAGGAGGAGGAGGAGGAGGAGGAGGAAGAAGAAGAAGAATAGGAGGAGTCGGTGGAGGAGGATGAGGAGGAGGAAGAGGAGGAAGAGGAGGAGGAGGAGGAGGAGGAAGAGGAGGAGGAGGAGGAGGAGGAGCAAGACCAGGAGCAGGAGCAGGAGCAGGAGGAGAGGTGGAGAGGGCGCTGGCCATGTCCTCAACCATGACGCCGGCGACAGGAGCAGCGGTGCTTCCCGGCGGCTCTGCGTGAGCCGTGGCGGAGGCCACGGGGGAATGGGCATGGGGGGGAGGATGAAGTTGAAGGAGGAGGAGGGCATATCAGTTTCGGACGTCTAAGTTGGATGGCGCGCGGGCGCCAGGCGCACTGTTGGCAGGATGCGGGCGCAGGCCGTATTTGATTTGTCTGCGGCCAGCTGACAGCAGACAACCCGAAACTAGTTGACTGGATCAGCTGTCAGCTTGTAGTTTAAGAGCTTCGTTGGAGTCGTCTTGAAGACATTTGGGAACATCATGCGGGAACGGATGGGAATTAGCGAAACATGTTCAGATGTTGGGGCTGTTGTTGAACATTTTGTTGCATTTTTGGAGTGTTCCCCGCGCGAATTTGGCGTCATTTTCGAGAGAATTTGTTTCCTGGAGCAAGAACCTGGCATAATTTACACCAAATTCTGGCCTCGGGAGCGCGAATTTTGGGATTCTATAAGGGAAATTGTCTTCGGAAGCGCGAGCCTGGCGTAATTTAGATTCTGGTTTCAGGAGCGCGAGCCACGCGTAATCTAGGCCTCGGGAGCGCGGAACCTGGTATACTTTGCAAAGGATTGTCGCCTCGAGAGCGCGAATCTGGTGTAGTTTACAACGGAGTGTCGCCTCAGGAGCTCGGATGTGCTCTATTTTTTTGCATGTCCCAGCGCCCCCCCCAGGGAACTGTAAGATCCCCGGACAATCTTGGTGACAGGAAAATGTTGGACTCCCCCCCTCGCGCGGACAGCAACATATTAGAGTAGGAACGAGAAAGTAGTATACTAACATTGGAAACTGGAAACTGGTACTGGTGCAGGAATCATGACGCCTCTGCCACGAGCCTAATGGCCCCACAAAGGGGGCCAGCGGATTGGCGGGCTGTGAGGGTACGCAGGCAGTTTTTGGGAAGGGGAGGAGGATACCTGGCTCACAACTTCAGGCCAGGGGGTGGGGACGTTCTGGGGGTGCGGGTCGCTTGCTGACAGTTTTGGGTTCGGGGGTGAGGATACAAGGCTTGCAGTTTTGGGCCAGGGAGTGAGGAGATCTGGGTGAAAGGTTCGGGCCAAGGGTTGACAATCTCTGACTGGCAGTTTTTGGCCAAGTGGCGAGGATGCTTTTTCAATCCCACGATGAGGATATTGCGTGTGTGCTGCGCCAGTATACATGCTCACCCCTTGAAGTGAGCCTGGTTACGGTCCAGCTGGCGAGCTTGGCAGCGATCTGTGCGTGCTGAGGCTGAGGGTGGGGTTTCTGATCATCAGAGCGCCAGCTTGGGCAGTGGGCAGCAGTTGGCCCAGTCAGAAGGGGAACCGCATGATCCAGCGCAAGAGCTCTTGCGAGTGAAGGTCTTTTCGGTGATGTGGCAGGCGGCGACGTGCGCAACCGCTGCTCTTCTTCTCCAGAAGTTCGGCATGGCAGGGCTGCTTCCGAGGGTACTGCACGAGAGAAGATGGTGGCACCGAGGACTTTGCCCGAGCCCACTGCCTTTTCTTCTCAGCTGAATCGCGTCATCACGAAAGTTATGAGCGCGTGGGACAGAACACAGGAGCTCAGATGACACGTGTACAGATTTCGAGACCACAATAGGGGGGCGAGGTGCCCAGCGGCCCGCATCCAGGAGCAGTATGTTCTGGCGACCCTTTCCATGTTCTAGCGGCTGTCTATGTCCTGGGGGTCATCCTTGAACAGGTCGGCCGGTCAGCCTGCTGGTCCTCGTCCCTGGGGCCTGAAAACGGGCCCCAGAGGCCGAAATCGAGGAAGAACGCCCGGATTGAAGTTAGCTTGGCGATGGGCCCAATATTTCTTCAAAACAGGGCGACTATGAGCAGGGCCGCTCAATGCGCGAGAATATTGTGAGGTGCCTGCGGCACCCCTGACTGCTTCGCCAAAACCGTTGAGTCACACTGAACGTGTGAGGGGCGTGCCCGCTCTAGTGCGCCCAGCACCCAGCGAGGCCCGCCGGCTCTGCCCAGACGTGCTTGCGACCGCCAGCGCTGCCGACAAAGAAGTAACGTGCGACGGGTGTTCAGAAACGGGGCGGGACACCATGCGAACGCAGCCACTGGGACTTTCGGCATAGCTCCCTATGGGGTCAAGAATCGCGTGAGAGGTGTGCCGAAATAGGGCGGGTCGCCATGCGGACGCAGCAACTGGGGTCTTCGGTGGAGCTCCCTATGGGGCGTCGAAGCGCGTGAGAGGTGTGTCGAAATGGGGTGGGGCACCATGCGGGCCCTGCCACTGGGGCTTTCGATAGAGCCCCATGGGGCCACGCAACGTGTGGATCACCGAAATGGGGCGGGTCACCATGCGGACGCAGCCACTGGGACCTTCGGCACAGCTCCTCGTGGTGCCACGACGCGCGTGAGAGGTGTCCTCAAATGGGGCGAGTCACCATGAGGACGCAGCCACTGTGGCCTCCGGTGGAGCGCCTTATGGAGCCACGACGCGCGTGAGGGATGTGCGGAAATGGGGCGAGTCACCATTCGGACGCGGCCACTAGGGCTTCTGGTGGAGCTCCCTATGGGGCCGCGACGCACGTGAGGGGTTTGCCGACATGGTGCGAGTCACCGAGCAGTCGCAGCCACTCGGGTCTTCGGTGAGGGGTGTGCCGAGATGGCACCCAATGCGGCCACGAAACATGTGAGGGATGTGCCGAGATGGCGCAAGGCATCATGAGGACGCAGCCACTGGGGCCTGGGTGAAGCTTTCTATGGGGCCATGAAGCGAAACAGGAGGGGGATCAGGAAGAGCACGGGGGAGAACGAGAAGGAGGAAGGAATGAGACCCGCGGCGCTGTGGGTTCAAGACGAGGACCCAACACACTGGAGGGTCGGGAAAAGCCCTTCGGGGATCTGGGAACCTGCCGTAGCAGACTCCAGCATTTTCCCCTGAGCCTGTCCCTCGTCAACGTTGCCCCCCTGGCCTGCGGGACATCACTCGGCTTTCCGGCGACCGTTCGGGGCAATCCCGGCACCCGCTCTCGGTGAGGCGAGGCCCCCAGCAGGCGTCCCGAGGCTGGAACGTCGACGAGAACCGACGAGAACGTCCGAAAACCTCGAACCTCGCAGCCTTTCATCTCCCTCCTCCCAGCCTCCCCCCTTCGCCCGGGCTGCGAGGTCATCGTCACGAAAGCATGCAGCATCGTAAACAAAAATCGCGACCTGCGGCATTTTCCTCGCTGGAGCGATCTGCGAGGGTCCATGGGGCCCGAGACAGGGCGAAGTTTCGCGGGGTGTGCAGCATTTACGACGCCAGGATCTACGGATTTTGGTCGTCGTCTGCCTCCCAGCCTCTCCAACTCGCTGGGGCTGCGAGGTCATCGTCGGTCGAGGAGTTCCTCGCGCTCCTCGGTCAAGACGCGCTGGGCCTGCTGCAGGCCCGGGTGGCTACTCTCTGACGACGGGCCCTTCTCTCTCTCTTTTTTTTCCCCCCCCCGTTTTTTAAGTTTTTTTTTGTTTTTTTTGTTTTTTTGTTTTTTGTTTTTGTTTTTTTGCGGCCGTGGTGCCCAGCTGGCTGCCCCGAGACTGTTTTGCATTCTCTGGCGCGTAACGGTCGTTGCCTGGGCCAAAACGGTAAAGATCGTACGCTTTGAGGGGGAGGCCTGGGCGGTGCTCGCTGGTGCCAGCGCCGGTGCTCGCAGACGTCCTGCCTGAGCTCTCTGGCTCTGCGCAGGTGGTGGAACCGCAGGTCCTTCAGAGGAGGAAAAGGTACCCATACCTCTACGCCTCGGCCGTTTTCCTTTTCTGGGGCCTCACGGGAGGCCCTCGTCCCCACCGCTGGATTCGCCTCGGAATTCTGGTCAGAACGCACCCCCGGAGAGGTCCGGGGGGTAGCGGTATCGGTACCTTTTGGTATCCCCAGTCCTCTGGTGCGCGCAGGCACGGCGTGGAGTTCGCACGCATGGCGATCGCAGAGCGCCCCCGCCCCGACGCGCCCCACCCCGCCCAAGGGTTACCGTTCCCCTGGCCCCCCCCTTCGGGTAACGACCGTTGCGCGGAAATCTTAGCTGCCTCGATACGCCCGTTTTGAAACGCGACAAGTACTGTGCTTAAATCGTCCGTGTCAATACGTTGCGTGTTGGCTCAGCGTATTGGCCCACGTTTTGGCGAACGTATCGCGTCATACGTACGTTTTCAGTTTACGTGCTGAGCTCCGTATTAATACGCGACGTTTTGCGTGTTGCGTATCGGAGCAGCTAATGCGGAAGTAGCTCAAAAATACTCTTCTGGTGGAGCATACGGTCGGCATCGTGTATGGCCAGGACATGGAATAAGGAACTATTGGATAAGGAATCCAGAGTCTGGAAGCCGCTGGAACATTAATTGAGGCCTGGCCATGTATTCACGCCGCCCTCATCGAATAATGAATCCCCCAGGGCCCCAGGGTCTGAAGCCTCCTGGACACATTCCTCAACTGACGCCCCCACCGTAACCTGTCCCCGTCCGCCTGATCCTGCCTAGCGTGTTGTTCCCACGGTCCGATTCCTTTGTGTCGGACGAGAGGGGGGATAGGGAGACAAGGGAGGGGGGACTTCGAAACCTGCTGCACGTAGCTGGTTTCGGTGGTCCCGCCGCCGGGCGCATTGGCGCCTCTGGCGCCTGGAGGCGCTTGGTAACCTAGCTGCGTGAGCTGATTCGCTGACCTCCCCGTTGCTACCGCGCTGTGGTTGCCATGCCCATGTCGGCCTCTCCTCCTCCTGCGCCTCTCTCCGTACTCCCTTGTGTGCCGCCGTTGTGGCTCACAGGGGCCCTTGATTCACCTGGCGCCCAAGCGACGGGCGCGCCCTGGCCCCCATAAAAAGGAAAGATCGCGCTTTCTCTCATAGCACGGGTCCCCCTACTTGTACTTCGTGTCTCTCTGTGTTTCGTACAGCTAATCCCGTACATTCCACAGTGGCAGCGGAGCTGTGGTTGAGATCCACGAGGGGAGTCAGGGCGACTCCCCTGTCACTCGGTTTCCGGGTGACACTTTCCATACTCTTCTCCCCTTCTTCCCGCTTCCCCACCCTCTTGCACCGAGCGCCGCCATGGATCTTCCAGACGACGCTCAGCCGCAAGAAGGTGAACTTCCAGAAGACCCTTGGTTGCAGCCAGGACAGGATCCTGGGGCAGGAGGCGGAGGGCGAGAAGACGTTCCTTGGGAAGGCGATGACGACGTGGGCTGGCCAGATCAAGACTTGGCCCGTTGGTTCTTGCAGCACTGGACGGAGACACAGCCCAATGCGGAATGATTCTCATCAGGTTGGAACGCGCGGGGCCGTGGTTCGCTGGCTGCGCCAAATCGGCATACCGCGCCTCTGCGAGGACAGGCTATGCCTTTTATTCAGGTTTCTCCGACTGATCTGATCGCCATATCTTCTGATCGCCATGGGGGGCAAGGTCTTCTGATCGCCAGAGGGGGGGAATTTCCTGAACAATCGGAGGCCCCAAAGACACCGAACGACCTACCTCCCACTTGGGATGGAAAATCTTCGGATACTCGTTTGGAGCCTGTCATGAAGGAGCTGCAGACGCGGCTCGCTACCGCCGGAACCCTGAAGGCACAGCGCGGATACCTCATTTACCGCTACGCAAAGAATGACCTCAATGTCGTTATCAACGAACTCACCGAAGACCAGCTGTCTTCGAAAGATAGCCCGCAGGTTGTGGTCAATCATGCGAAGAAGTCTTTTGCCGATTACCAAGGCCGCAGGATGCCGAAGCCTTATGAGAAGTTGTTCTATTCGGACGACACCAAGCGTAAACGAGATGAATCCCTGGTCAATTACATCGCTCGCAAGCGAGTGCTTGTCCGAGAACTCGAGAGACGCATGATTTTGCCAGAGGAATTGAAAGGCTATATGTTTCTTAGAGACTCCAAGCTCAGTGAAGCTGCTTGGGGTGCGGTCGTATCCATGCTGTGAGTTCCGCCTCGCACTTTGTCGTGTACCGGGGGGCCGAAGACAGATATGGGGGCCAGGAGTCTGATCGCGATGCCTTCCAATGGGTTCTCATGGTACAGTCTTTGTTTACTTTGCCCGAGTCCAATGCGGGGGACAAGATCCCGACTGAGGCTCTCAAGTACACGGACGACGAAGACGTGCTCTTCGCAGCTGGGGACATGCCCGAGGATGTGATGCGAGATGAAGACGAGGGTGTCGCCATCTACGCCAACTGCAGTCAGGTGCGACAGTATTTTTCACAAGCGGAAGCTTGGACGTGGCTTTTTGTTCAAACAGTTTCCCCCGAAAGTTAATTCCAAACGCTCCCGAGGGGGATGGCGCGTCGAGGGGGGCGATATGGGCGTGTCCGACCGAAGCGGTGTAGCACAAGTAATTTGATAAGTCGCTCGAAGTGTGCCCAATGTGGGAAGACGGGGCGCTGGGCTCGGGGCCGTGCGAGCGAGCCAGACGAGCTAGGGCGCATGCGGCAAGCGGGCTTCGGCGGTTTCCAGGCTTTTCCCCTTGAAGCAGATGGCGCTCTGCATGGCGCTTGTCAGCGGGGGCCTACGATCCAGTCTGGAGCCAGTTCTTTTACCTTTCCCATCCTTGCTGCTGCTGATGCTTGTGGGCAGGCTTTCATTGGACTGCAGGCTCAGGTGGTTTCGGGTTGGTGGGCGCTGGAGGTCGGCGTGGAGTCTGCGGCAAAGATCAGTCCGACAAACTGGTGAGATGTCGCGGAGATATTTGCGGTTTGAAGCCAGTGCAGATACCTACTCTTGAAATTGGCGCCATGGGTGTTGGAGGATGTACCGAGTTTCTCTCCAGCTGGACCCGACCTCTTGCCGTGGCGCAGAATTGCGGTGCTCTCGCGGTGCATCTGGTTGTTTGTGACGTGCCTTTACTGCTCTCAGTGGAGATGCCCAGACAGGTTGGCATAGTTCTTGACTTGCCAGGAGGCGTCATCACATGGGAGGCACTCGATGGCAGCCACTCGAGGGTGTACGAGGTGGGCAGGCAACCACATTGTCATCAATATTTTTGATTTTTCCCGAAGGGATTTGAACGGGCTCTCCGAGGACTCAGGGGTGCTACCAGGTCGTTGAACCTGAGGATGCCGTATTCTACGTGAATCCGCAGGTACCCGCGGCTCAAACCAGTCTTTCTCAGCCAGCTGCCTCCTCCCCCGATATCTCGCGCGATGTTGAACCGTGCTGGGTGCGTCCTCGTCGAGAAGGGGCCGCAGCCAGAACCTCCGAGCGCCGGCAGGTCCAGTCATCCCACGACGACCCCAGAGAGGCGGACTTCGACATGGAGACAAGTGTGCCTGAAGCTACCCTCCATGTCTGTGCCGCGCGGCCATCATGCGCCGCGCGCAGGCCCGCGTCGGTGCGAACACCTACAAGAACCTGCTCGGGGGCGCCGCGAGTCTGGGCCAAGAGGCGACGCCATCCGCGCATCAGCCCCGCGGCCACCGACCTTTCTCTCGAGTTCTGAAGGTCTCCAGCAGCGGGGGGTTCGTGGTGGGCAGGAGGCCGGGGCCAGACGGCATGGGCACCGAGAAGACCGATCAGGCCATGTGCGCGCATCCCGAGAAGTCAATGCGCCGCCGGGGCAACGCCGGGGCCCTCTGGACGTGCGACGACTGCCAGATGCTCTATGCGCTGGGCGAGGCTCCCGGTCGAGGGCGACATCAGCACGGGCGTGCCATGCGATCAGGAGCGGGCGACGCTCGGGAGATGCGCGGGCTGCGCCTTCAAGGAGATCTACAAGAGGGACTTCCAGCACTGCGAGCGGTGCATGAAAACTCACGAGTCAGGTGACCCAGTGACGCATCAAGGATTCAGACGCCTGGCAACTTGCACTGCCGAGCGCGAGATGCGCGAGAACATCGTGGACGGGGGCGGTTTCGAGACGGTCGTGGAGGAGACCGACCTCGGGCGGATTCGCGGGCAGAAGTCTTTCAACGGTTGCAGGGCGCGTGTCCGAATGCATCGCGAGCCCCGCGACGTGCTCTTTAACCCAGCCGACTCCGTCTGCTCGCCTTCTGCAGGCGACAACCGGCGAGCGGATGACAGAGGTTGTCCTAACAGATGGTGCTGCCAAATTCATTCAGGATGCTTGGTCATAACCATCTTGTGGCCGTGCCTGTGCCGGGAAATGGACGGGCCGCGCTCCCTCCTACCGCGGAGCTGCGACTGGCGTGATGTTCGCTGGTGCTCTGTTGGCGACTATTTGTCCTCGGAGCTCCTGTCTCGGCCAGGTTGGGCAACGTATCTCTCCAGACGCTACCAATGTGAGCCTGGCTGGTCCAGTATCTGGTAAGTGCGTGGCTGTGCTTCGAGGTGTGCCAGGTGGTTCGTGGCGGCCTGCCACTCTGCAGGACTCGGTTGAAGCGGCTGAGGCTTGCGAAGGAAAGTTGCGATTGATTTTGTGGCAGACCGCCAGTGAAGCTTGCG